CAAGTGTTGATAATCTTTAATGGGACCCCTGAAACAGGACATTTTTTCTCTTACAGCTCTGCATATGTTCTTACTACCTTGCACACAGCTGAATGCAGACACCCAAAAATAGCAATAGGATTTTACACAATATGAACAAAGATGACCGGTTTCTGTAAATAAAAATAGCTGACTGGTACACACCTATCTGCACATTTAGCCACACTCGAAACAACTTCTTTCCAAGTAGTTCTACCACAATTTTTTATTTTAGGTCAAAATACTGGAGTTCCAACTGCCAGTTAAAAATTAGAGATTTAAGAAATGCTTCTGTCTCTCAGTATCCTTTAGTAAATCACATTTTTTCTGGTTCATATTGTCTTTGGGTTATGACAGTGTTCCTGGCAACAAAATGACCTACATGACAAGGCACATCGCATGTCTGTGAACATATGGTCTAACATCTTGCACTCCTTCAAGAGCACCATTGTGGTTTTCTCGCATTAGCTGTGTTATCTGTTACAAACGCCACACGGTTGGCCAGGAAAAGGTTCAGCGCACTCAAAGATTTCTCCATTGCAATGACATCATTTTTAGTACTGTCCTGATTAATGGAGAGCAAACTTTTAGAACAAAACAAAATACAAAAATGATGATATAATTACTTTGGAATATAAAGCTAGATAAGAAATTATGAGGTGGAAGTTTTTAATCAGTATGATTGCTAGCATCTGTCATCAGGGAAAGCCACATTTCGGTTTTGTATGTCTACCCTTTGGAGCAGGAAAAAAATATGCGAAGCTAGAACAACTTTCTGTTTTCATACTAGAAATATAAAGATTTTCCTCATTTGGAATTTTCAGTCAAGACAAACACTCTTAAAATCTGTTCTCACAGATGTTGGGCTATTGCAAAGGAAAAAGTGACTCAAATTAATATTTCTCATTTAAAGTGTACAACACCTGCATTTTTCAGAACTGTTCCTTGGAACTACTCCTGATTCTTTGTTATAGTCTATGTAACTTCTCCACACTGTAACCACTGTGTTAATTAAAAATCTTTGTGCTTTATCAGTCCATATATGATTAGATTATGTGTCACTCACTAATACATTGCAGTGTTCTCTGTTGGAAAGGGTTGTCTCCCCTTGCAAAGGAGATGATAATAAGCCCCACAACTGATTTGCCTCATGTTATTTTATAAAAACAATAAAAAAATCTATTTTTTAAAAGAGTCACAGCAACCTTTGCCTAAATGATAACTAAAACCAACTCTAGAAGCACAGTTCTACTAATAAACAAGAGAATTCTTTTAGTCTCCTTGATGAAGCAGCATCCATAAATGATGTTATAGCGGCTGAGGATTTCATTTTCCAGCTAGTGTAAGCATTGTAATTCAACATAACTTTCATGTTGTTTAAATGATTAGCCAAATTCTAAAGATTTTTCATACTGCTCTCTTTATTTTATTTCTAGCTCATTAGCCCTTGTACATATGTGTTGAGAAATAGCCAAATTGTAATTTTTTTAATAAGTACTAATAAGCAATCTATTTAGAATTCAGTAACCTTTAAAGTCTTGTATTCTATAAAGCAGAATACAAAATTATGGCTTTGAACAATGAACTTTTGTCTTTCTAAAACTCCTTTAAAGAAGCATGGAAGAAAAAAATCATAAATATCTAAAGATTGCCTAGTAGGTGAGGAACTGTCTATTAGTGGTAGAAAGCAATGTAAGAACAGGAATTTTTAATCATATCTTTGTTAAGAGCCAACATTAATGAAAAAGCAAAAGAAAAAATCAGTCCCTACACCGTTCATCCCATAACTCCTTTGTGTTTGGAAGTTTTTTCTAAGTGTAGCCTTAAGTATCTCTTCTTGGGCTATATTGAAATATTGTGCTTTACTTAATAAGGGGTAGGTCATTTATTTTAAAAATAATTGAAACAGAAACTTAGGGAGCAAGTAAACTATTTACTTGATAGGCTGCAATAAAATAGTGCTCTGCAACCATTCAAACTTTTCATTTCCGTTAATAATTTTCTTTATGGTTTCCTGTTTGTTCCTCCATGATAACTGTGTCTAGCTTCTCTTTTTCAGTTCCAAAGAACTGGAATTAAACATGAATATGTGTATGTATTCAAAAATCCACTCAACTAAACTTAAAGCAAAGCATAGATATTACTTTTTATTAGTACTAAATATATTAGTTAACTAGTTGAGAGTTGAGTACATATCATTGGAGATGGGCACATCTGCAGGGTTTACTGCAAGAGCTACGCATCTGCATGATTAAACTTCACATTTCCTCTTAATAACTAGCCTGCCTTTATTTTTCACTGAAATTAAGTGACTTCTTAGCCAGTGTAATTATATGGAATAGTTCTCACTTGTAATGTTGTTCAAAGAAGAAACACACACCTTCTCAAAGGGTGTGGTTTGTCCATTTCCACAGCTACAGAATCGAGGTTTGGGGTTTTTTTAGCTTTGTAAAATAATGCACTGATTAGAGCTGTATCCATTTACTGGGTTGGAAAATATCTCTTCCTTAGATACATGTTCACTGCTAAGAAATATAGTAGAGAATAGAAGTCAGAGGCTCACTAAAATGTCAGATTTTCCTGTGGAAAAAAAAAACCCCTCCCCTCCAATGTGTTTGCCAGAATTCACTTAGACAGACTGATCACTACTTTAGAAGCTATTCATAGAGAAAGCATATCTCTGTACATTGTACCCAGTTGCATGCTGCTTATTTCCTTTTCCTTTCCTTTCCTTTCCTTTCCTTTCCTTTCCTTTCCTTTCCTTTCCTTTCCTTTCCTTTCCTGAAATTTCCTTTCCTTTCCTGAAATTTCCTTTCCTTTCCTGAAATTTCCTTTCCTTTCCTTTCCTGAAATTTCCTTTCCTTTCCTTTCCTGAAATTTCCTGAAATTTCCTGAAATTTCCTGAAATTTCCTGAAATTTCCTGAAATTTCCTGAAATTTCCTTTCCTTTCCTGAAATTTCCTTCCCTTTCCTGAAATTTCCTTTCCTTTTTTTCTTGTAATAAATATCTGGCATTCCAAACTTCTATGTAGAGATTTTTATTTCGTTTTTATCAAGTTTATTGAGTTCTTATTGCAAGAACCCAGGTGTATATTCAGATTACTAGCTCAGACAGCACAAAATTCTACTTTCTCCTAAGACTAGTTTAAAATGTAGTCGTCATTTAACAATCATTTTTGACAATTATATTGGAAGAGATTGATGTTAATCTGAGAATGATAAGACAATTGAGGAACTTCTGTAGACAAATGGCACCAAATTGCTTTAAAATGCAAAATTACTAAGCTACCTAGGAGAACATGACTCTCAAAAGGTCCAGAGTAAAACAAATAGAATGAAATTTCATAGTTCAAATGGCAGGATCATGTATTTTAGTTCTAGTTCCAAAAAACCTGTCATTGCCTGTTCAGGTTTTATAAGTATAGGTATGATAGAGGAAAAGAACAAAAAGTTCATAAAAATCCTAAGAACTCACCTAATCTGATATGAAAATTTGATTCTTTTTAAGAAACATGAAACAAATTTGGAAACAATTTGAATTACTCTATATTAGAGAATACACCTTACAAAAAGGATCTGAAAAAATTTGTTCTCATAAATCAAAGTCGCAATTGAAATTACTGTTGTCTGTAAATAGACCCATGAAAGCAAGAGCACACAAGGAGTGAAATGGCAGCCTCTGCCGAAGTACCGATGTGTGTGCATTGGCCATTAACACTTCCATCTAGAAAACAATTTTATGGCCAAAAGAGGAAAAGTATTCAGAGAGACTAAGTAGCAAATTGGGGGCTGCTGAGAAAAGAGTTGCACAACAGTTGCAGTGTTGAAAGTGATTGAACTTACTTGCCCAGGAATTTCTCTGCTGGTTCTAGATTCTGGTTTAACTTAATGCAAAAGTAACTTTGGAATTCTTTGTTCAATGTTCAAGTAACAAAGCAAAGGTCTGAAAGTGCAAAAATGGTCTTTTTCATATGACATAGACCATTTCTCTCTTCTCTTGTTCCATGCTGAGGTGAGACACTATGACTACACTGAAGCAGTCTCATGTAGGATAGTTCAAGTCATTTTGGCAGATAGATTTCTCTGCATTTCAGAAGGCTTATATTTACACTTATTTCAATTTTAGCATTTAGGGGTTTTTAAATTTTAATCAAATAATTGCGTAAAATACAATTTAAGCATAATTTCATCAGAAAGTTGCTTTATTTCAGGCATTATTCACATGTTTAGATGGGAGGGATGAAGGGATAAGTTAAAGTACAAGTGCATGCTGCAGCTCTAAGTCTAGACTGACCTCCAGGAAGGCACTGAAAACCTCTTTGAAAGAAATCAGTTTGCTCAAAACTGGTTCCTGCAGGCTTTAAGGCATAATACACATGATGTTATTCTACTTTTTTTGTTCTTCTTTAATTTAGAAGTTTCCAGCTAATGCCAAGTCATTCAATGGCAGTTTGCACCTATTTTGAGAAGAAACTGGACAAAATAGGATAAAAGATATAAGAACAGATCTTGTTTTACTTTTTTTGTATTTCTCTATTTTTTAATAATAATGAAACAACACATTGAACTATGAACTTATGAGGATGGTAAAATTTTAATGAAGTAAAAAGAAAAAAAAATATTCTGAATCTTCCATAAGCAGAACTAATCATGGAGTGGAAGAAAAAGAAAAGTATGTATTAAATCTATATTAATGAATTAATGTCCACTGGAAGACCATTAGACTGTCATTCCCTCTTAATAAAACAATAGTGGTTTTTTTCAGTTGTGTTCGTATATCTGATAACCTGGAGTTCAACTTTAATACTAAAAATCCAAATTAGACCATTTGATTCTCTTTTATAGTATTTCTTCAAACATATTCCAGATTATTTTTCCATGATGTGTTGGTGGATAATTATCCTCATTAGTAGAAAAGAGCATGCAAGCTGCTCCCTGATTTTTTTAAAAACCTAATCACCTGTAATATTTTGTAATTACAGCCTTCTTCTCTAGGAATCTTTAAATCAAAATCCACATTCGTGTAAGTAATGCAGAAAAATATGTTTAAAAATATACTTTCCTTTGAGATTATTTTGTTATGACTTTTTCATGTTCAACAGATAAGAGAGATAGAAGTGACTGCCAAGTATATAACAATGTCAAATTCCATTAATGCAATGATTAATTTCTGTAACAAAAATATAATGAACTCAAGGATTTTGTATTTCTACTCATCTGTCAAGAAGAGCTTTTAACTCTGCATTAAAGTGCACATTAATTTGTGCAAGTGCACACAAAGAATGGATGTGTTTATTATATCATAACTATAAAAATAGGCATTATATCATAACTATAAAAATGGCCAAAAGGAAGTGTATTCCATAAATAGGAAAAAATTGTTAGCCCAATTAAGGTCTTAACAAACTAACCAAAATAAAGCATATATTTATTAGTCTATTTACAGCAGTTCTCACACTTTACAGTCCGTAATAATACAGTGAAGCCTCGTAAATAATAGAATGAAGCTTCTTGTTCAAGAAAACTCACGAGTACCTGTAACCTTTTCTCCACTTCGGTTTCATCCCAGGTCCTAAGGTTGAGACTGCAGGCTCCTTGAAAGCAGAGAGGTGGTGTATAGTTTTGGATAGCTGTTAAGTCTCTACATTTTCACTGCTGAAGCTGAGAGGGCAGATCTTGTTTTATGCATTTCAGTGTCTCAATGTATTTTGCTTTTGTGGTTTTGCAGTTAAAGCCTCTAAGGTACATGGTCACCTCTCCTAAGCTCCCTCTGTGTAAGTGTCCACTGTTGTCACACTGGGACTCTCTGGGAGCCTCTGCCCTTGTCCACATTCAGCACTGACAGCGCTGCAGCACCCACATGTTCATCAGTGGTAACTTGGCCACTAGACACCAGTTAAGGCAAGCTAAAAGGAGACAGGGGCCAAGGCCAGCCCACATAGGTCTTGAGCCCCCAAAACCGAACAACATAAACCAACATGGAGGAAAAATCATAATATTAGGGATACAGTATACTTATTTTCTTCTTTGAGGAAAAATTACTGTGTTTACTGTGATACTTTTCCATTAATTGCATGGTTGCAATTGCACCATTGCCCATTAATTACAAATACTTTATTTTTTCCAGAGTATGCAATAATTATATCTACAATTCATCTTCTGCTCTAGAAGAGTATTCTACTTTGGAATTAACTTAGGTAAAGTTAATGCATCCCTTCTGAGACCTTGAAAAAAATTAGGGGACTGGGAACTTAAAGGTTCAGTCTTGGAAACTGGGGAAGGAAGTCTTTATGCAGATACTTGAAATATCTCATAATTTGTATTACTGTCAAGAATAATTTTTTAAAAAGTGCAATCTTGCCTAGCCCTGCTTCCTAGTCATTCTTTAGAAGTAACATATGAATCCAATAAAGGTGTTTCTTCTCTTTTCAATTTTTTTTGGCCTATAAATGTGTCATTAAAAATTAGGATCTTATTCCTACACTTTCAACTAAAAACTTTTCCCTGCTAACTCTCAAATCCATTTTGTCTTCTCATAACTGATGCAGTTCTATATTGAGGTCTTCCTGTCCAGAATTTTTTTCAAAAATTGTTAATGATAGGTTCAACCACCACACTCTGAACAGTCTACATTGTTTTTAAAACTCTCTCCTTTTTCATTACATTCAATTGTGATAGTAAATAGACATCTGTCTATTAAGGTCTCCTTCTCCTCAATTTAATAAAAGAGTTTTGCCAACTCCTTCTGCTTTGTATTTCACACTGCTTCTAAAATATCTCCATTAGTGAATCAAGACCTTGTGCTATTTATGCCTTCTGTTGATATAATACTCTGTTATTCAACCTTCCCTTCCCTTCCCTTCCCTTCCCTTCCCTTCCCTTCCCTTCCCTTCCCTTCCCTTCCCTTCCCTTCCCTTCCCCAACAATACCAGTTAGTCAGATTTGAGGCCTCTTCAGAAAGTCCAATTAGATATAGGCATCTTCCTCTTGTCAAATTTTGAATCCTGACCTTCCACGAGATGTTTGAGGATGTAAATAATCAGTGGGCCCTGGATGCTGGTTCTGTGTGATGTAGGAGGGTTATAATTCTCCAAAGCCACAGCAGGTGCCTTATCTTTGTGCTTGACTGACTTCCTGCTTTGATTTGCTCCTGCTCCTTTTCTTAGAGCAAAAAATAATCTTTCCACAGCTTTCAAGTTATTTTTTCCCTGACTAATATGAAAATAAAAAACTGTATATCATACTTCCTGTTTTCAAACTTGCTTTATCTTTCCCCACACATGAACATGAAAAACACCAAAAAAGACATAGAGTAACCCCCAAAAATGGTACATAACATAGTTGCCTGAACTTGTTCTTCATTTTATGTAGCAACTGATGTAAACCTGCAGGGTGAGAGGTAAAAGTGATCTGTCAAACCTCTAATAATTCTGAGTGAACTATCAATATATTCAAATCCCACATAGGTATCTTGTTTTCGTGTATTTGCTGCATACTTCATATGCAGTGTATCTTATATTCTTAGGGAATAAAACCCCCACAAATTAACAACCAAAAAATTTTGTTCTTTACTGCAAGTCTTCTCTGCTTAATTGTGGATAACTTCATATAGCAGTACTAGATCACATTTTTGTTCAAACCTTTTTTAGATTCAGAATAGCAATCAAATTTGTAATCTTCTTACACAATTTTTAAGTGGGTATTTTCAACTTCTGTCAACTGGTGTTGCTGCAGGTGATTTCTGAACATTCTGGGAATTTGAAGTATCCCCATATCATAAACATGTAGATAGCTGCAAGACTGCAGAAACATCAAAAAAGAGAAAATGCTTAAAGCTCTCTTTGCCATACTTGAATATAGCATTAAAGGGAACCATGCACATATGGACCTAATGGTGGGCAGCATGCATTAAATTATTTCACTGAAGCTGCAGTCCATATGCTGCTGCATCCAGATGTTTTCTGTTCAATATAGGGAGATTACCAAGCATCCCATTGTCACCCAGTACCAGGACTCTTGAAAAATATCCATCACAATACTTGAAATGCATCTAATACATCAATTACAAATGCTAAGGGGAAGAGCTTTTATCTGTGATTTGTTGTATGCTTTCAGCTCCTCTCCCCTGTAACAAACCTTGAGGCAGTTGGCAGGTGGTATCAGACAGAACAGATCTCCAGCCGCTTCATCTTCCACTTGACAAATAGACCATTTCACATCAATCTTGTGGTTCAGTACATTTAGAAAGTTTAATGCATCTTTCTGTCCTGAAACCTCTTGCTCTACTGTTACTACCTGTCCCCTATATGTAAATTACTATATTGAACATAGATTTCCTCCTGTTTTAAATTTCTCTGTTACAAAATAATGAAAATTGTTTGATTCACCAATATAAAGCATGATTATTTCTGTTGAAGTACAGCGGGATGTGCTACTGAAAAATGAAACCAAATGTTTCAGAGGCAATTCATTATGCTCTGAATAAATAAAATTCTAAATATTCTGCTGTGATATTACACTAGGAGTTTTTTCAGTATATTGCAGGATCTTCTAGAGTATCACCAAGAGCCAAGAACACTGGGAAAATGAGTACTAAAAATACAGATATTATATGAGAAAATATGACTTTAATTAAAATTGTGCCCTGTTAGTACACTTAATACTGATATACTTGTTTTAAATCAGAGTAAATATGGAATTTTCTGATTACATAATCAAAGTGGCAACAACTGAAATCACGTTGCCTGCACACTAACAAGAATCTAAACTTTATAGACTTATATGACTGTTATGATGAGTGACACAGACATTAATGTATATTTGGTTGCATTAACCCAGTTAATAATGTCTAATATTTTATCAGTTCAAACTAAAATTGTCTATGAAATAATAAGGAAACCATTGGTCCTGAGATTTTTTACATTAAAAGACTGCAGACAGTTCATTTATCTGAAAATCATGACTTTTTATGTTAAATAGAAATTTCTGGGAAAAAATCAGGAATTATATATACATATATAGATATAGATATTGATATAGATATATTTGAAAGTTTATCTTGTAATTAGCATAAAATCTTTTCCTGTTAGATTTTTTGTCTAATAGATTTGTTCTTTTTTCATAGCACTTTGGTGTGTCTGAAAAGTTCAAGATCACAATATTAGGTTGTACATACACATTACTTACTTTTAAATTAACTAAATTTTAATATTTGACACATTACAGAAGACAAGAAAGTACTTATTTACCAAAAAAAGACAAGTTGGGCATGTAAAATTAAAACAGATAAAATCTCTCTAAAGTAATAAAGGTAAACTAGAGAAAAACAAAGATGTACATTAGTTTCCACTTTTATTCATAAAAATTCATACCATTACCTTGAGTTCATAAATTGTGAGTTCTTTCTAGATGATAAGTGGCCTTCAAAACATCCTCAGTTATATATTTATTATTCTGAGAGACAGTCTGATCTTTGTAAGAAGGGCAGAGAATCATAATAATGCACCATAATGTTGAATGGTATTTTTAAAGTCATCACAGGAGCCATCTGTCTTCCCATTTGTTTGTCATGGAGAGGTACTGACCTCTGAAGGTGTACTAGCCTCCTCCAAAGTTAGTACCAACCTTATTTTGACACCAGAGAAGGTATGCAAGTTACTATTTGGTAGCTTTTTGGGTTGGAGCCCTGTACCAATGTTACCCAAGTGACTGTGCACACAGCAGTAATCTAAGCTGCATCTGCAGCCAAAGACATCTGTGAAATTCATTAGATGCCAACCAGTCCTTTCAGACCTGCTATTATTTGAAAATGACCTTATTCACAAAAAAAAACAAAAACAAAAACAAAAAAAAAAAAAAAAAAAAAAAAAAAAACAAAAAAAAAAACCAAAAAAAAAAAAAAAAAAAACAACCACCAGAAGTCTGATGAATTCCATGATTGGGAGGATATATTACTGTGCATCACAGATTGTCACCTTCAAATAGGTAGATGATTTTCAGTACTTTTCCAAAGCTCAGATGGTC